AAAAAAAAAAAAGTCATATTACTGTACCAAATAATCCAACCCAATCTAAAATAGTGTACAGTTTTACTCTGTAAGATATGGATCCCTTTAATATGTGTGGATATTTATAATGCAGTAATACAGTACAATTTTATCTGTTAAAATATGTGTTTCCTAATAATTATTGTGCTACAAGGTAGTAAACTGATCTGAAATGTTTAACACACAAACAGATTTGGCTCAGTATTTGGAAAGAAAACAGACAGTTTAGTCTCTTTTTTGACCAATTAATGCAAAATAAACACTTATTAATAATTTGTAAAGTGTTTACAGAAGAATCAATAACCTATCTATGAACTCTTTATAAGCAATCTACAAGGGGAGCTTTATTGTGAAGTGGTACCTGAAATCCAAATCTAAATTAGGTATATTATAAAACATTTAATGAAGCTGCTCATGATCCTCAAATAAAAACCAGGCTAACTGGTTGCTTCCATTCCTGGTTTGAACAAAGATTCATTACAAAGAAGAGTTGGGAGGAGGAACAGCATTGCCTGAGACCCCTGAAATGGAAAGAGTTAAACGCAACCAGCGGAACATTAGCACGGTACTCCATCCAGTCACCCCAACGTTCTCCTCTACCTCAGTGTTTTCCCTCCATAATTCCCTCGTTGTGTCCAAGAACCAAAACAGAACTGACTCCTCATTTAATCTCTTCTCCTAAAAACATAATTCCACTTTTTTTCTGCTCTACTTATTTGATTCATTTATTCTAATCTTGAACTTCAAAGACTCATTTTTAACAGAAGAAACATTATCTAGAGCTTTATTTTGATCTATAATCAGCTCACTTTCACAATGCAATAGATGACCAAAGTATGACTCAGTCCACTTGTCCTCTTATGGTCCAGAGTTATTTCTGTTTAAACTTCCTGTTTCTKAGAGAATGAAATATGATGCAACCATAGATATTGACAAAAATCATGGGTGTAATGAAACATGAATGTGTATCAAACTGTCTGGTTTGAGTAATCTGATYAGTAACATGTTACTAAGGATCATCGCTCTCATCTAGAAGAGGTGTAATCTGACTTTTTGGGGTTAAATGGGTTCCTAACTCTGAATCAGGGCCCATATTTATAAAATGTCTTAGAATTCTTCTTAAGAATGCTGCTAAGAGTGGACTTAAGTGTAAAATAATTCTTTGTTAAAAGCTGAGAGTAAAAGTAAGTTGTCAAGCGTCTCAGTCTCACTTTAAGTGAAATGTAGGAGTAATTCT